GGCAGTTTAACAAATGATGGGAATAACTATAGGAATTAATTGCAGGACATCAGTTTAACCCCTTTACTATCACTAACCAAGTAAAAAAACCTGCATCCACTTAAATGTATTTCACTGAAGGATAAGTTGGTAGGACTTCAAAGGATGAAAATGGCACAAAAGTAAGAATAGAAGAACCACTACTAATATCTTAATAAAGATAATCATTCAAGAAAATGTCTCCTTTGCCATATATTCAAATCAGGGAAAAAGTTGATGTTGCTTCTTTGGGCCTATACTGGTGGCAGAATTAGACACGAGGCAGATTAAGAGCTACATTACCTTAATTAACATAGATACAAGACACTAAACAAGCAGAGAGGTTAATGCTGTGTTGGCAGAAGCACATGACTGCCCTGAGGTGGAATGTAGTTTAGAAATACCTTGAGCTAGTTCAGATCCTACAGAAGAAGAGTACACAGCTGTAGGTTTGCTTTGTTCACTTTCAAAAGAATGAATGTGTTCAAAAAGAAACAACACCAGATCATTTTTGCATAAATAACTAGAACTACACACAGACAATCAAAATGCTGATTTTACATTGTTTCCAAAACAAACACATCATCATGACTTAAATGGAATTAAGTTTTTACCAGAAATATGAAACAATGAAGATGATAGTCAAGAGAAAAGATAACTAATGTATTAAATTCCTGGTTCTGCAAGCCAAGCAGGCAGGCTAATTTCTACTCTATTATGACTCCCTGTGGATCCCAATCCACGTGCCTCTTCAAAACAGGGAAATATACTTGGTACAGGTGTTAATTGCATCTTTAAATACCATAAAGTAAATAAAAATTCAAGAACCAAGGCTTTTTCTTCACTGAAAAAAAAGCAGACACAAAGGACAATTCTTCATTAAAAAAGGTAGCACCGTTTTTTCACAACTTCCTTTGAGTGAATTCTGACCTAGGCCAAATAACAGAAAATGATGCAGACAGCGCTACCACAGTAGAGATAAGATAATCCACAGAGGAGAAGGATTTTTATTCAGAGTGCCAAAGTATCCAAAATAAAGTTGTGGAAGAATCTGACATCTGAAACATTCAGCAAACACTCAAAAGCTGCTTGGAAAATGTGTTGTAAGGAACCCAGGTAATCTACTTTACGTCTTATTTTATAGATGGTAGTATTGTACTGACAAAATGTTGTGCCATGTTTCTGGGAGATAATCTTTTTACAAGGTGTGAGTGGGTCTGTGCACCACTTGGCCTTTAAATGAGAGGGGATGGCTTTGAGATGCTTGAAAAATGTTTTAAATATGCATATCTTTTTGCCTTATCTGACTTATCTGACAGCAAAAACCCAATCACTTTTGCAATTCAGAGAATGGCAGTTATCAAACATTTTAAAATGCAACTCTATTTCTTAAAAAAATCCACAGATCTTATCTGGCATTCCTATGGTGGGTTTATGTCTGATGAAAAACGTGTCACACCATGATACCATGCAACAGGAGAACACCTATGACTTGTGAGACTGCAGAAGCTGTAGCTGATCAAATACAATTCCATGAAGTTAGAAGGCAACTACGTTTTATAATCCTTCCACAAATTTAGCAATTTTTCCTTTAACTTGTTTGTCTCTCTGCAAGGTCTTCCAGTATAAATTTTATGACATTCTTCTGAGTTAACCATGAGGTTTTTCCTATAGTTTTCTGTTCCCACTCCACAGGAACTTTGGATCAAAAAAACCCCTAGTTAATCAGTTCACATGTCCTTATCCTAGTCATAATTTGATCAAGCTCCATCTAAAGTTATAGAATTCACTAAATCCATTAGAAGTTTGTTCCAAAATTCTCCTCTACTGAAGACTGAAAGCCTTTTAACTTCTAAGAGAAAATTAATTATGGTCAGTTTGCTTATTTGTTCTAAAATTTTCGGTTGCCTTTTGTTCTTCTTACGGTTGCTTATTATTTCATGGAGCACTTCACTTTGCTAGACTGAACGAGCCTGTTTCTTTCAATTCTCTGTTGGAAAAGAAACTTCTCTAGTAATCTTTCTGCACATTTTCTCCTTTAAAAGTGATTTCTGGGAAGCTGAGGATCCAAGTGGTACACAGTATGGTGGACAGCAGCTTGCAGAACAACTTTAGCAGGTCTCCATTAGCTCTAGTAGCAATACACACATAAATTGTAGGTCACATTTGCCTTGTCTATGAGCGACCTCCATCTAGTCCAACAGATTATTCACCTCACATTCTATTACCATTTTTATCTGAGCATGCTAGATACTTTCCTAGAAACCAGTTGTATTTTGCCATTTTCAGGTAGTTTGTGTATCCAGTCTTGAATGTCAGGAATTTAAACTTCTTTAATAGCTTTAAGTAAAGACTCATATTAAAGCAGTTTATAAATGCTGGTTGGATCTACTGCATTTCTCTCTAAATTGCTTGTTGAGGAACAACAGTATCACTCAGGCAACATAACCAGTGTAAAAATACATCATATTTTATTAACTCTCTCTCCTTATCCCTGTGGTTTTCTCCTAAAATCTATATTCTACTAGCACGGTATAAACTCTTGAGAGTTCACTCCTATTTAATTCCCTGGATTAATCATTTCCCTATTTAATTCCCAGACTAGGCCTAGACCAGACACCACAATGCTACCCTCCTCAATTTTCTTAAAAATGTTGTTGGCTTCAGATGAACACACTATTTTTCATCACGAGTTCCACTCACTTCTCTTTTTCCCTTCCCTTCTGTCACCTTCCTGTGATGATAAAACCAAAACTGTCAGTTGGGAGGGTAACAACTAAATGAAGGAAAAACACTTAGCCAACTTGACAGATCAAGGGAGGTTTTTATGTCTCATCAGCAGTATAATTTAGCAATTTCATGGATTATTCTTACTACTCTAGCATGTAAGCACTCTAATGAAGATCAGGATATTATCTCAAATGATATGTCCTGCTTTATTTTAATTAGGGGGAAGAAAAAAAAATCAATAAAATGCAAACAAACACAGGCAACAGAAGACTTTACTAATATGCTATTCCTGAAACAGGTTAGTGTGCCAATTGGTTTAGGCACATCCTTAGACCTCTCAAGAGGCTGTTAGCCAAGATATACCTTGATAAGCAGTTGAGGAAAAGCCATTCCAGACTATAGCCTGAACTAATAATAAGCTAATTTCAGGGTTTGGGGGCTGTCAGTAACCAGCAGAGGAACACTTCACTGGGGAGCACCTATCTGAGCTCCTGCAGGCTCAGGAAGGTCACTGCTGGCTATGGGGCTGGGGCAACGCCTGGGAAGGACCCTGAGGTGGCCAACGTGGAGCGTGGGCAAGGCCCAGCTGCCAGGGAAGCCCATGGCCCTCCAGCTCCAGCCACTACCCACTGTCCCCGGAAGTTGCAGCAGCACCAGAAGCAGCCGATTTCTCATTCTCATTTATCTATACAAGTATTCTTTTTTCTAACCTACTGTTTTTTTTCTTGCCAAAGGTCATCTCCATGTAGTTTCTGTGCTGCTTATAGAATACTTGAAAATGTGTGCTTCTTTCTGAAGAGCTGTGACACCAAGGGAAGAGAGGATGGTTGGGAATTCAGGAGGATGCCCTGGCTTTCACTGTGAAACCAAAGGCACTGCTGATGTCTCCAGTTTCAGTCTTTTTTCACTTGTCTCTAAAATGTTTTGGACTCTTGAAAGCGGAAGGACTCTTCAGGACAGACTCCGTACTGCCCAGAGACCAACACCAGTGGGGATGGTTAATTGACCCCTGGACTCCTTCCCAGTTGTTCTGGTACAGATGAGTAAAATAATTCTCACTATATGCAAACAAACTTGGTACTTCCTTATACACTTGACAAATTCTCATGGCTGATGTCTGCAACTGAGCAACTTGCTCAATGACTGGAAGCTCCTGCAGGTGGAAACTTTCTGTGGTACAGGATGGGAATAACATTTCCAAAGGATAACATTTGCAAATGTCCAGTTTGTTTTTTTTTTGTTGCAGATGGGTTTCCACACTCAAGCGGGTCATGTGCCAACTCACTTGCCTAAAGTGGGAAAGTACCGTATTGGAAAAACATCCCTTTCACTGTTTCCAGCACTTACAAAGACCATTGTGAAATTTTTGGTTTCTGAGAAGAAACATTCATGAGGACTTTTTTCAGGTGCCTGATTTTTTTATTATTTTTTTTTTTTTCAGAGCGAATGTTGCTAGATAGCATCGATGTGCCATTTCTGCTGCCGCGGCTG